TCTGAATGGACGTGGACTGTACGCACGACGGATCCAAACGGGACGTGGAAGAGGATACCGGCAGGGATGACGCCGTGCATGTCTTCTTGAAATTTCGTTGCTTTTGTCCTCTTCCCCCGTCCCCGATAATTCCTTCTTGCGCCAGACCACACCCCCTCATGCTCGTGGACCCAGTGTCTTCTCTTCTCTTCTTTTCGCGCCACATCGTCATGTTCCTAGCCGAACGCGAGCAGGCGCTTTTTCCTTCCGAGAAGAGCTACAGGGCCTAGAGAATATCCAAAGGGGGCTATTGCAGAATAGGATTGGTCCTTTGCACCCAGGCGGTGTGCTTATGTAGAGCAATTGTTCGCCATTGTCCCGGCGAAACGAAGTCATCGGCGTAAGCTGACTGAAAGACAGCCTGACACGCTTGTTTTGGACCCTATTCTAGGGTTGGAGGTACCTCCATTCTCCTCTCAACTCAAAGAGAACGAGGAGTCCGGGAAGATGTGCGCGACGGCAAGAATCCATTAGGGAGGTATCCGTACAGGGTTATGGTGTTTAATGTTGCCGACCGTAAGCAGGGGCAGATGTGTGGCCTTCAACCGCACCGATGAAGTCACCTCCAAAGTTCGTGTTGGGTACGCGCTCAATACCATCGCTGGGATGTCATAAATAGAGCTACTTTCGGAACTTTTTTAGAAGTTTTTTTTGTTGGGCCCCTGACCTTCAACTCGGAAATACAATCTCGGAATTTTCGACTTTGAGCGACTTTTTTATGGGCCATCCAGGCTTTGGGCGGCCGCCATCGATACTTCATCGAGATATGTGTACTCCATGCATCCTCGTCAAGAAAGACTATTTTGACTAGATTATTTAGCATTCGATTTTTGCATTCTGCCGAAGACCTTCTGATATTATACCTTTTGATAGGCTTTTGTTAACGGTGTAGAGGCCCATATACCGATGAGCGTGAGAGCACGAGCGTCTGTGCACCCCTTTTAAATGCATTTGCCCAGTAGAGACGTGGCTCTCTGAATCACAAATTCCTCGCTCCATACAAATCATGATGTAAACCTGCATTGTCGCATTCGAACTCATTATCTCCCTTCGCCTGCGTCCATCTCTCTCCTCGTATGGGTAGAGAAGGAGAGGTCTTGCACACCGCATCGCACCCTCTCATAGGCATGAAAGAAGCTGATAAGATCAAAACGATCGTAGTACAAGGCGTCATCGTGGTGCTTGCGGCCTTATGTCTTTTCTGGACGGTGAATTACGCGTCCGCGCAGGTTTCCCTGGAAGAAAAAGGTAATTCCCAATTACGGACGAGCGACATCAGTCCCTTCAAGATGGCCATGGAGGGTAGTGAAGGATTCTTCGACGATATTCGAGACGCAGGATGGAAACGGCTCATGGAACGAATTCAGACCACTCCTTCATGTGCAGCATCTTGCGCGGCCGAGCCGGCAGCACGCTGGTATCAAAACAACTGGGAGCCGAATTTCACGTGTCTTGACGAGCGCCGCATCGGCCGTTGGGGGGATGGTGGTAAGTGGGTATGCGATCCACGTCGCATCGTTGCGAAGGCGGAGGCTGGGCATGGTTGCCTTGTGTACAGTGTGGGCTCCAACAACGACTTCAGCTTCGAGGAGAGTATCTTGCGCGATATCTCCCCTGCGTGTGAAATTCATACTTTCGACCCGACCATCGGGGACCGTCCCGCCAAGCCGCTGACGGATGAACAGATCACCTTTCACCCCTGGGGTCTCTCCAACAAAAACGACGGGAAGTACAAGACTCTGCAGACCATCATGCAGGACCTGGACCATGGGAACAGAGAGATCGACATCCTCAAGATCGATTGCGAGGGCTGCGAATGGTCCAGCTACGAGAGCTGGCTCGACAAAGGGATTCGCATTCGCCAGATATTGATTGAGTTGCATCAGGGTACTGAGGGGGCGACTCCGGTCCCAGCCATGAAATTCATGGAATCTCTGTCGCAGCGAGGGTTTGTGATCTTCCACAAAGAGCCCAATACTCTAGGGTGCGGAGGAAGATGTATAGAATACGCGTTTGTGAGGCTTGCGAGTCCCGAGGCACGCCTTGCAGGAATTGTGAACAACACCAGGAGTAGGACTTAACTCAGTGAATGATAGACGTAGAATGCAGCAGTCATTTTTCATCGCCCTGATCCATTGCGTCCCAAGGGCAGGAAGGGGGCAAGGCGGGAAAGTGAAAGAGATGAAGGGAGAGAGGCAGAGGAGGGGAAGTTTACAATGCTGTCAAAGACTTTCAATATGGGGAAATCGCGGCCAAGGGACTTGGCACGTGGGAGGAACCAAGAAAGGGAAGGAAGGAAGGTAGGAAGGAGGGAGGGAGGAAGGGAGGGAGGGGTGGTGGAAATGGGGGCAGAAAAATGACAGGGGGAGGGGGAGGGAATGTAGGAAGGGAAGAAGCAAAGATAGGGGAGACTGGATTAAGAGGAGGAGAAGGAGGAGGAGGAGGATACAAGGGGCGGAAATCCGTGGCAAAATCCAAGAAAATACATAAAAAAACATACGTCTTCCATTCTTATTTCTTCGTCCTTTGCTCGTTTCATTCTCCTTGCCAACGAAGAAGGAAAAAGGGAGGGGTACAGCACCACGTTAAGGGGAGGAATGTGGTGCTCCAAAAAAGGCGCGGGGAGCAACGTGAAGGAAGGATAGGCATGGACGGAGCATTGTCATCTGCATGATGAAGGAAAAGGATGGAGGTGGGGCCAAGGGAAGGAAAAGGGAAATGAAGAAGAGGGGGAGGGGCGCGTACGAAGGGGGGAGGGAGCGAAGGATGATGACGCGGGTGAAGGTGAGGTTCAGGGGGATATAGGGGAGAAGGAAAAAAGGAGAGATGAGCGAGCGGGCGAGGCAGGAAGAGAGCCCTCCAAGTCTGTTGTTCTGGAACGTTCGCTCCATGCGCGCGTGGACAGGGCACTTCTCTTTCTCCCGTCGAGGAGATTCGGGAGAATGGAAAGGAATTTGTATATCCGGGAAAAAAATACAA